ATTTATTTTTAATTCCATTTTCCACAAGCTTTTTAAAGTGCTCATGGATGTCTGGCAAAGAGTTTAGAAAAGGATCAAAAGAATACACATCAACATCGTAACAGTGGCAGAGGGGCTGACCATTCACAGTGCTCTCATTTCTACAGGAACACATACATGTATGACTCAGGTGGTTAGTTTCCATTTTTAACAAACGAAGAGGGAGACTTCCAAAACATGGATGTATCAGTCCCCATGCAAAGTGCCCTGGCCAGGATGGAATGGGGTACACAGCAAGCAAAAGCCAGCCCTTGCCTCCAGGAGCTCACAGGCCTGGATTTGGGGGTCAGGAGCTGGTCACAGCATTTCAAGAATCAGAGGAGAGGGGAGAGCAAGGAAAGGCAAAGCTGTGGTCCAGCCGAATGCTGGTTCCCAGGTGTGGAGGGAGCAGCTCCTGTGGCCTCCTAGGGAGGCCATGATGGCTGTGAGGTGTGGTCACCATGCTTGGAGAAGACGCAGGGGACCCTGGGATCAGACTTTGGAGGGACTTCACAGAGAAGTATGCAGAGGTGGCCAGGCAGAGGACAAGAGGGGAGGTGTTGATTGTCCCAGAGTGGGGAGAGGTGCAGAGTCTGGGCAGGGAGTGATGAGCCCGAGAGAGACACTGGGCAGGGATGGAAAGCCAGGGGAGGCAGCAGGAAGCAAAGGCGCTGTCAAGTCCTGCTTCCAGCAGAATTTACCGGAACTGTCGAGGAGTCAGAGGGAGGGTGAAGGGGTGAGGTCCCCCTTCCAGGGTCTACAGACAGCAGCTCCACAGTGCAGGGGCCACAGCCCTTCTCTTTCCCTGAGGAGCCCAGTTCTGCTGTGCACACAGAGAGCCTGGGTTCCGCGGCTGGGCTGGCCAAGGGCGGCCGGGCAGGCACGTCGTCCTCTGGTTTCCAGCCGGGAGCCTCACAGGTTTCCCAGAAAGGCTGACACGCGCCGTTCTGTTCTTTTGAGTCAGAATATGCGGCGGGGGAAGCCTAAATTAATTAAATGATGCTGATGCCCTGAGGCCCTCCGGAAGCAGCGCACAGGGCAGGGGCTGTGAGGCCTGAGCATGCCGCGCCCCCACTCTGAGTGCTGGCATCCAGAGAGGCTTGCGGGCTTCATTGGCTCTAAGCCTGCACTTAAGTGCTTCCAGAGAGACAAAGAAATCATAAATCAGGAGCAGGCGCCCCACCCACGCACCACGACTTCCAACTCCAAGGATTGCACTAGTCCACATCACTGGCATCAGATGTCTCACCCAAGCAACAAATGGCCAAGCCCTAAAATTGATGTGACCTCCTGACCCTCTCAGAAATGCAGCTGGGCTAACCTAGTGCCTCCCTCCACAGCAGTAGCCATTCCTACAAGGCTCTCCCCCTACCACACACACACACACACACACACCTCAGCCAGGCACTGCATGTAGCAGGACGGCTACCCCTCTAGCTCCCCCTCATAGTCCCTTTTACTGGGACTCCCCAGTCTCCAAAAAGCTTCCCTACAACACCAGTCCAACATGGAACAGACTCTGCCATCAGATGGAGATCAGTGCATAAAAGAATGATTGCCAGCCAGAAAACACCAAGCCCTCACTACTCGTACAAAATAATGAATCCATACAGAATAAAAGTTCCAGCTAAGCCCCAGGCCTGGAGCTAGACCCTTTCAAGTCAGTCTTCTCACAGTCCTCACCCACCCTGAGCTGGCCAGCAGGGCGGCTCATTAGATCACCTGTGTCTGGATCCCTCTTCACCTACGAGCTCTGACTGTGGATAAATCACTTTGCCTTGGTGTCCTTGATGGTTGGTGAGCTCATTCAATGAGCTAACATTTGCAAAGTGCTCAAAACATTGCCTGGTGCATTGTAAGTACTGCTGTGTGTCTAACAAACAAATTCCTTCTTTCACTCACTCAGCTTACGTTGAGTACCAGATGTGTATCCTGTAGCAACAGTTGCCAGATCTGATTGAGAAAGGAATGGGGAGAAAATGCTTCTATTTGCTCCTACAGGGCCCGGTGGGAAGTTTCCTTTTGCCTGTAAGATAGGGGAGTCCCCAGGAAGGAATTTACCAAGAGATCTGGGGAAGAGGCAGCCACAGGTGCAGGAAGATAAAGGGGGCGGGCCCTTATGCAAGGCTGGTTGGCAAGCGGCACTGCCCAGAGCCAGCACCCTGGACAGCTCCCGCCTGCTGGAGGAATGGCTGGGATGGAGGCTGCTCACAGGCCCTGCAGCGCCTTGCTGAGGCTCCCTTAGCCTTTTGCTGAAAGGGATCCTCACCCCTTATGAACCGGGCACCCTAGTCCTTGAGGCTGATGATGGGAGGTGGGTGCCTTCGCATCTGGAAGTATGACAGTGAGGGAGCTTGGTATCCCTGGGTCATCTGCCACTGTCCCAGTGGTGGCCACCTTGCAGTGGAGCATCAGGGGCACTGGGAGGAAGGAGGCAGCGTGAGGACCAGGGGACAGGTCCCCCAGGTTGAGCTTAAATCCAGGCTCTGCCACTGGGACCTTGGGGGAGTGAGCCAGCTCCCTTCACCCAGTGAGATGGAGAGCACAGTTCTGAGGGAGGGGTAGATAGAACTGCACACACAGCTTCCCTGGCACAGAGAGAACCATCATGCATAGGTCTGCTTTCTGCCACCAGGAAATAGGACTGCAAGAGGCGTGAGCTCAGGAACAGCCAGGAGCCATGTGGCCTGAGCCCTGGGAGAAGGGGTCTGCACCTGGGGGTTCTGGGAAACTTTCCCCTCTCTGGGCTTCCACCGTTCTAGACAGAACACTTCTGCCTCATATTCTTTCCTCCTTCTTTTTTCCTTCCCCTTAGAGAGTACAGGCAGCACTGGCCTAAAAAATCATGGCTCTGCAGGCTGGAAGGCCTTTCTTTTAAAAGCTTCATCTTGGTGGTCTCACATTCAAATGACTGGAGACCTAGGCAGGTGACAAATGCGGGAGGCCCACTGGTGGGGGTGGGCTGGAGGCTGGGGGAGAAAGACCGGGAGGAGCTGGGGTGTGAGTGTACCAAGAACAAAGGCCTTCCAATACAACTTAAAACAATTCTCCCACACCCCCAAAGAGCCCCCTGGTGGCACAGGTTTCTGCTCAAAGGGACAGGGTCTCTCCCAACCTCTTAGGAGCCAGGGAGGGGCTCACCCGAGGTCATCCAGAGCCAGGCCTGTTGCACACGGGGCTCTTTCCCAGAGGGCAGTGCAGCCCCTGCAGAGCAGGAGCCGGGTCAGTCAGCGGAATCCTCTCCTTGGGGGTGGGGGTGGGCTGGTTAGCTTGAGCAGCAATAGTTGGCAGGACTGCTGCTTCGAGTCTGACGCTCTGTCTCCATCACCTCATCTCACAGCCATCTCAGGGACAGACGCCAACTTTCCAGCCCTCTCCAAAGCTCCCCAGAGCCACAGCACCCACCTTAACCTGAGGGCCCAGCCGGGTGGCCAAGGGCGCCCCCTGTCCCTTGTATCTGCTCCTGCTGTGACAGGAGGGTAGAACAGTACCTTTCACAGACAACAGTAACAATGGCAAAGTATTTACGTGGCTCTACTGTGTGCCAGACACCCTACGCGGTAGGTACCACTATCATTCCATTTTACGGATAAAGTAACTGAGGGACAGAGGCGTGAAGTCATTTCCCAGAGGTACTCCTAGCAGCAAGTGGCAGAGGTAGGAGCCATCCCAGCTGCCTGCCCATAAAGCTCTTGTTCTGTGGCCTCCTGCTGGGTGCGGGGGGGGGGGCGCGTGGGGCGAATGAGCTGCACCTATGGTTGATCTGCTTTTGAGATCAGAAGAGAGGAAAGGCTCCTCTCTGAAAAAAAGGCAACCCGCAATCTCAAAAACGCAAGCCTCCTGCCCCCCAGCCTCTTCTGCTGCGGAGCCCTCCTCTCTCCCGCCAGCCCGGGGACTCGAACACGGACTCCACCGGCCATCTGGGGTCAAAGACCTTCTGGGGACGCGACGGGCGCGGCGCAGAGCCCGGCCAGCGCAGCCCGTGAGCTGAGAAGCGGGCGCCTACGCGGTGCGGGCCTTTATCACGGTGAGCCTCGCTTGGGGCTGGGCCCTTCCTGGGGAGTGGGCGCGGCGCCCCCGCAGCTCCAAGGAGGAACTCCGGCCTTGTCACTCCCGAGCCCACCCTGCCCATCCCTGGAGCTGCGGAAGGGAGGTGTCGGAAAAGTGGGCGGAGGCGCGAAGGAGCCGGGGGCTGGGGAGGGGGGAGTCTGGGAGGAGTTAGAGTGGGGAGGGGGGAGAAAGGAAGTGGGGCTGGGGGATCCGCAGGCTCTAGAGCCACGGGAGCGCCCGGGCTGCGGAGGGTGGGAGGGGCCTGGCTGATACCCGGGACCCTGGGTCGGGGCGAGGCTACCTCTCTCTTCAGTCCCCCATGTTCGCGGTGGGGGATTTTTCCAGACCGGGCTCAGCAGACCCTGGGCCTCTCCCTCCCTTCCTGGGGTGACAGGGGCTAGGGGGTGGGGCCAGAGAAAGAGCTGGGGAGGTGTCTGTGCCCGGAGCCCCTCGGGTCGCGGCTCCACTATTCCAGCTGCGAGGAGGACAGATGGACGCGGCCGCGGCTCACCTCGGGGGCTCCCTGCCCGCTGCGCGCCGAGACTCGGGCGGAGGCGGAGATCCAGAGCCCCTGGTCTCCCTCTCCCCCGGGGACCCCGTCCCGGGCAGGCAGAGGGGGAGGCGAGGGCCGGCTCCAAGTGCGGCGCGCCCACCCTCCGGGGCTCGTCCCGTAGCCGCCCGTAACGATACCCTGTCTTGGGGCTCGCGGCCCTAGAGCATCGGAGGAGCGGACCCCTGCCCGGCCGCGCCCCGCCCCCGGCCCCCGCCCAGCCGACGTCGCATTAGCATGCGCGACGCAAGTGGCCGGGGCACCACTCGGGGGCCGGGACTCGCCGCGTCACAGCCCCGAGTGGAAGGGGGAAAAAGAGGAGCCGACGCGCGGGGAGGGGAGCGCGGCGGCGGCGGCGGCGGCGGCGGCGGCGGCGTTGGGGCTGGGGCAGGCGGCAGCAGCCATGCCCCTCGGCCCGCGCGGGCTGCCTCTCAGCGCTGCGGGGGCTGCTCCGGATGCGCCCCGGGCGCGGCGCGTCCAGTCTCCGGCCTCAGCCTCTCAGTGCGCCCGCCTCTCCCGCCGCTCCTGAGCCCGGCGGCGGCGGCGGCGGGTCCCGGATCGGCTCCAGCGCAGCGGCGGCGCCTCCTCGCGCGACGGAGTCCTTGTCTTTCCCGGGGCACGGGGCCATGAGTCCCGCAGCCACCTGAGGCACAGGCGCGGGGTGGGGTTGTGTGTGTGTGTGTGTAGAGGGGTGGGTGTGAGCTGCGTGGCGAGGATCGCGCCCCCCGAAGTCCCGCACCTTGCAGTTTCTGCACTGCGGGACGTCGGCGCCCGGAGCCGGTGGAGACTTCCCGAGGAAGAGCATCGGGGGGCCAGGGGCATGGAACCCGCGGCGCCGGCGGGCCAGGCCCGGGCTGCAGCCTCCAAGCTGTCCCAGGCTGTGGGCGCCGCGCTGCAGGAGCCGCGGCGGCAGCGGCGTCTGGTGCTGGTCATCGTGTGCGTGGCGCTCTTGTTGGACAACATGCTGTACATGGTCATCGTGCCCATTGTGCCGGACTACATCGCCTCCATGCGCGGCGGCAGCGACAGTCCCACGGCGACCCCCGAGGCGTGGGAGCCCACCCCGCCGCCGCCCACCCTGGCCAACGCCAGCGCCGCGGCAGCCAACGCCTCGGCGACCCCGACGGCCGCGCCGCCCGCCGGGCCGATCCTGCGGCCGCGCTACCCGGCCGACAGCGAAGACGTGAAGATCGGAGTGCTGTTTGCCTCCAAGGCCATCCTGCAGCTGCTGGTGAACCCGCTGAGCGGGCCCTTCATCGACCGCATGAGCTACGACGTACCGCTGCTCATCGGCCTGGGCGTTATGTTCGCCTCCACGGCCATGTTCGCCTTCGCCGAGGACTACGCCACGCTGTTCGCGGCGCGCAGCCTGCAGGGCCTGGGCTCCGCCTTCGCCGACACGTCGGGGATCGCCATGATCGCCGACAAGTACCCCGAGGAACCCGAGCGCAGCCGCGCTCTGGGCGTGGCGCTGGCCTTCATCAGCTTCGGCAGCCTGGTGGCGCCGCCCTTCGGCGGCATCCTCTACGAGTTCGCCGGGAAGCGGGTGCCCTTCCTGGTGCTGGCCGCCGTGTCGCTGCTCGACGCGCTGCTGCTACTGGCCGTGGCCAGGCCCTTTTCGGCGGCCGCGCGCGCGCGCGCCAACCTGCCGGTGGGCACGCCCATCCACCGCCTTATGCTGGACCCCTACATCGCTGTGGTGGCCGGCGCGCTCACCACCTGCAACATCCCCCTGGCCTTCCTCGAGCCCACCATCGCCACGTGGATGAAGCACACGATGGCAGCGTCCGAGTGGGAGATGGGCATGGTCTGGCTGCCGGCCTTCGTGCCGCACGTGCTGGGCGTCTACCTCACCGTGCGCCTGGCGGCGCGCTACCCGCACCTGCAGTGGCTGTACGGCGCGCTCGGGCTGGCGGTGATCGGCGCCAGCTCCTGCGTCGTGCCCGCCTGCCTCTCCTTCGCGCCGCTCGTCGTCTCGCTCTGCGGCCTCTGCTTCGGCATCGCGCTGGTGGACACGGCGCTGCTGCCCACGCTCGCCTTCCTCGTGGACGTGCGCCACGTCTCCGTCTATGGCAGCGTCTACGCCATCGCCGACATCTCCTATTCCGTGGCCTACGCGCTCGGGCCCATCGTGGCCGGCCACATCGTGCACTCGCTGGGCTTCGAGCAGCTCAGCCTGGGCATGGGCCTGGCCAATCTGCTCTACGCGCCGGTCCTGCTGCTGCTTCGCAACGTGGGCCTCCTCACGCGCTCCCGCTCCGAGCGCGACGTGCTGCTGGACGAGCCGCCGCAGGGCCTGTACGACGCGGTGCGTCTGCGGGAGCGTCCCGCGCCCGGCCAGGACGGCGAGCTCTGCTCCCCGCCTGACCCTCTGGACGCGGGCGAGGACGACTACGACTACTACTACACCCGTAGCTAGCCGCCGGGCTCGGGCACCAGGCCACCGCCCCCCACCCCTCCGCTGCCCCTCGGGGCAAGGGGCCTGCTCTGTGAGCGCACTGGCCAGCTCAAGCTCAGGGCCCGCCTCCTCCAGCGAGAACCCCAGCCCCCCCCCTCCCCCCAGCCTCTACTCCCCCTGCCAGAATCTGCTCCCGTGGGCGTGGAGCGCCGGGGCAAGGCTAAGCGGCTGCGCTCCTTGCCGGGAGGAGGAGACCGGCAGGCCTCCACCTCGGGGCTCCCTTGTGTAGACAAAGGCGCGCCTGTCCCTTCTTCCCCAACGTTCCTCCCAGTGCCAAACACGGCCCGCTGCACCGCGGCGCCTCCGGGCCGAATTAATAAACCGTATCTGTCCGAGGAGGCCGAGTCTCTTTACTGGTGGGGTGGGCAGCTGGGCGTAGGGCCCCGGGTAGAGGGGGAGGCTCAGCTGGGTCCGTCTCCAGCCCGGCGGGCACGTGGGAAGCCTGTGGCTCCTTTGCTACCTGGGAAAGGGCACATAAAGGAGGCAAACCCACCAAGGGCTCCCGTTCGCTGGCGCCCTAGAGCGCACGCTCCGTGCAGCCCGAGTCGGCCCCTCCGGGCAGGACCAGAGCAGCGCCCGGAGGTGTGGCCCGGGGGAGCAGAGAACCAGCACCGGCCGCGCGCGCCCGGCCCCGCCCTTTGAGGGTACGCCCCGCGCCGGCCGCAGGGCTCCAAGGAGCCTGCGGGCTGGGCTCCCCTTCCCACCGGTATCCCGCCCGGGCCAGGCTTCGAGGAAGGAATGAGCAACGAGCCGTTCCGGCAGGAGGAAGATAAACGGGCCGCGTCTTTGCAGGCCTGATCCATGGAACCGCATCCATCCGTGTGTGTTCCTTGGAGAGCTGGGCGCTACCCACCAGGAGGCGTGGGGCGCAGGTGGCGGCGGCTGCGTTCCGCTGCAGCGGGTCCGGGCCGTGAGTGTGTGAGCTGCTGCCAACCCCCGGCCCATCCCGAATGGAGGCAGCCGCGCCCGGCGGGGAGGGAGGGTCTCAGAAGTTTCAGGGCCTGGAGTCCCGGGCTCCCGGGCCGGCGTTCAGGGGACACCCCCCTCCAAGTTCCAGATCTCGTGGAGAGGCGGCTGGGTCTGGGTCGCCCGTGGGGGCCTGCATTCCCCGTGTATGTGTGTCTGTGTGGGGCCTCTCCTCGTGGGTGCTCATTCGTGTGTGTGTGTGTGTGTGTGTGTGTGTGGAGGGGGTTCTATCTGGGAGGCGGTACTTTTATCTGCCCCTAAGTCAGGTCTCCAAGCACCCCTGCGTCTGCCCAAGTCAGCTCCACTCATCTCCACCTCCCACCCCCCAGCGCCAGCAGGGAAGGGTCGGCAGCAGAAAGGTAGGCCCTGCAGTAATTGGCAAACAGGTTTATTATTATTATTAATACTATTTTAAGGAGGGTCTGGTAGGGCTTGAGTCTGGCCTAGTCGGCGGGGAGCAGAGATCGCCTCTCACCCAACCTTCCCCAAGGTTGCTTCATTAGCAGCCGCGGGCGGGAGGTGATGGGGTTGGGGGAGCGCGGGGGAGGGTCAGGCTGGGCAGGGGGCGACGACTGGGGCGGAGCCATGTTCCCCGCGCCCTTCTCCGGCCTGGATTCTGCTGCCGGGGCGCGAGTCGTCCGGACAGGTTCCGGGGGCCCAGAGGGGGAGGGGGAAGGGGGGAACCGAGGACCGAGAGGAAAGGAGACAGGGAGGGGCTGGGGAGGGAGGAGGGACAGGAGGAAGGAGAGGCGAGGCGGGTTCGCAGACAGCCAGTCGGGCGGCCGCGGGGACCCGGCTACGTCGGAGGCTCCAACGGGGACCCAGCCGGCGGCCCCCACCCTGCGCTGCCGACGCGCGCTCCCGACCCCCTCCCATCCTCTCGGGTTCACACCCACGCCCCCAGTCCTACTTGGTGCTGTGCGGCCGCGGCGGCTGAGGCGGCGGAACCCGGGAGAGCAGGTGAGAAGGGCTGGGCGGACGGGCGGAGCATGGCGCGGGGAGCGGAAAGCTGCGGACAGAGGTGCTGTCCGGGGACTGGGACCGGGATCCAGAGGCCCTGGCAGTCGCCGGGTCCTCTGAGTTTTGGGCGGCGGCGGCCGTCGGGGGACAGCCAGGAGGCTGCGGGATTCCGCTGCCTGGGCGCTTGGATTTGGAGAGGTTGGATCACCCGGGGCGCCACGCGCCTGTGCTTACCACACCCCGGGCACGCATCTGCTGAGTGCCGAGGTCTGCGTGCGTGTGCTTGCCGCTCCTAGGCAGAGGGTCCGAGGCTCCCCCTGAGGTGCCAGAGCGCGCCCACCTCGCGGTGGCTGCAGACCCTCTGGGGAACGGAGGGAGGGAGTGGCAGGGAGCTGCGACAGGTAGCAAGTCTGAGCCGGCCTCCGCGCGAAGCCCGCAGGTGACTCTGTGCCAGGCTGGGCTGGGCGCTTGAGGGCAGAGCAGAGACCCCTCCGGGCAGCCCTAAAAGGCCAGACTGGCGGCTGCGTGGATGAGAGCTCGGGAGACACATAGACAAGAGCCAAGAAGGAAAAGGAGCTGGCAGGCTTGGACCACCAGGAAGGCATCTTGCTGGGGTCCGAGGCTCCCCTCCACGGCCCTGGATCCCTGATGCCTGACTAGTGACTTCCTGGGGGAGGGAAGAGGCACACTGGCAGCAAGAAGAGGCATTGGCAACAAGGTCTGCAGAACCATTTACCAACATGACCTTGCTCTGGTGCCCTCGCAAATGGACTCCACTCCTCACTCACCCCGAGGGACCCTCACCTGGGCCCTACAGTTTTTTTGCAGTCCTAGGCAGCCCCACGCCTGCTAAGCTAGCCTGCCTGGGACCACTGTTTTGGACTCAACTGAGTTTCATTATCGACTTGTCTGGTAGCTACCCGCCAGCATCCATCTGGCACAGGTCCGAATAGAAGCGAACCCTCAGCGGATGCACCTGCGTGGGTCCTTTGGGGGGGAGGGAGGGGGTGCTTCAATGGCACAGCTACAGTGTGAGTTTGAGAGTTTTAAGTACTTATGGTCCCTGAGGTGGGGGCGTAGCACACCTGTGGGAAGACCCACACATGGAGGTCGGGCAGACGAGAGCTGTTGGCACCCAGTGGTATATTTAAGTTCCCCGGGCAAAATGTCTGAATGGTTCACAGTGGGGAAAATGGGAGAGGCCAGCCTGCCAGGCAGAGAGATGCGGCTGCGTCCTTCTCTCTGGCTGCAGGGTTGAGTAATCTGGATATGATACACAGGACCAGCAACCTGCATCAAGGGTGACAGAGCCCGGCTTCTACTGTACGAAAATCGGACCTGTATTAGAAGCAGCCTCTCAGCGGGCAGCTCCCTTGCCCCTGCCTGCAAGGGCCCAGAGCCACAGACAGCCTCAGGCTACTCCATCCTCGGGCCTGCCTGGTCCCTCCTTCTTTGGGGGTGGGGGGACCCCGTCTCCTGAGTCTGCTGTGCCAGGTACCCACATCTGGACCTGTGCTTTCTTCCCAGCAGGACTGGTGTGGGTGATGGAATTGGCTAAACACGAGCTTTAGGTTCTTGGGGGAGAATGGAGGGTGGGTTGGTGGAAGTCGTGAGTGTGTGCCTCTGCAGGCTCCGGCTTGGAGGGGGGTGGTCTCAGTGTGCTCCCCACCACCTTAAGAACTGGCCTTTGGCAGTGGGCATTTGGCCTAGCAGTTAAGATGCCCGTTGGGACACCTGCGTCTCATCTGAGAGTATCTGGGTCCGAGTCTCTACTCTGCTCATGAGTCCTGCTAATGGGTACCTGCATGGCTCAAGTAGTTGGGTTCTTGCCACCCATGTGGGAGACCTGGATTGAGCGAGTTCCTGTGTCCCAGTTTCAGCCTGGCCCAGCACCATCCATTGTGCGCATTTGGGGAAGGAACCAGCACATGGAAGTTCTCTTCTCCCCCCCCCCCCCCCCTCTCTCTCTCTCTCTCTCTGTCTCCTCTCTCTCCTCTCTCTCCCTCTCAAATAATAACAAAGACAAAAGAACAAGTGGCCTCACTCTTCTTGGCCTGCCTCCCTCTGCTGCACCTTCCAAATTCACCTGTCCCCCTAGGGCCCCAGGCTCCTGGTGTCCTGCATCAGCTACCTCTGCAATCTCATGGCACCAGACATCCAACAGGTCCTGGGGTCCTCCCCAGAGCATCTCCCAGAGCACAGAGCCTTGGGGGCCTTGTGGTCATCCATGCACCCATGTGTTCCTCCTCTTCCGCTAACCAGCATCCACCCTGCACCAGGCCAGTCCCCGCAGATGAAGCATGGCCAAGTGCATACCAGTTATTTCCCAGGCAAGAACAAAGCGAGTGCTCTAGGCACCCCCATGGAGTTGAAGAGGGCAAGCCCAGCCCTGCCTCTTCCTCCAGTGCTGCCCCGGGAGCCCCCAGCCTTGTGAGAGCAGGTCCCAGCTGCAGGCTCACTGCAGAATCCTCTCCCATTTGGGGGCTCAGAGAGAGTGCTGGGTTCAGGGGGACAGGCCTGGGGTAGGTGGGGGGAGGGTGTCGAGATTGGAGCCAGGCTTGCCACGGGGCCTCTGTATGCTACTGGCAGACTCTGGCCTCCTCCTGGGGCTGGGGACAGGGGGTCAGACTATGGGAGGGGACAGGTTCCTGGCAGGCCCACGTGGCTGTAGCATTGACGCCCTCACTTCTCATTTCCCAGGTCTCCCCTCGGCTTCCACAGCCCAGGAATCATCAAGATGCCCATCCTGGAAAAAGGCTCCCAGGCGATGGCTGCAGAAACCACCAGCGGCGAGGAGGAGGAGCCTGTGAGTGATGTTTGGAGTTCTCCCTCTTGACCCTGCTCTCCCTACTCACATGCATTGCTTCTAGAACAGTCCAGAGGAGGCTTGCATACAGAGGGCCTGGGAGTGGCCTCAGGACATGCAGGGGAAGCGACAGTCATGCTTCCTGATCCCAAGGAGAGCCCTGGATCTGGACCTGGAACTACCTTTCCCCCTAGAATAGCCTCCTGCCACCCCCACGTTCACTGCCAGTGGCTTTGAGCCCGCTGGAGGTGCCTTAGGGGGAGGCTGAATTCCCTTTGCCAAGCCTTGTTGCATTGCAGCCCCAGCTCAGCCCTGGAGCTCTGGGCTCCGTCTGTTCCACCAGCCCAAGACAAGGCCACCCTCCCTGGACGGTATCTGCCCACCCACCTGTCCAGCCGTGGAGTGACAGAACCACACTTCTGAGTGCTGGTTGCTGCACCTGTTGGTCTCTCTCCCCCAGCCCCGCTTCCCAGCCTTGCTTTGTGGTCCCCATCAGAACTTTCTGGCTTCTACCACTCCATGAGGTTGCTTCCTATACCACTCCAATGTTTGCAGCTGACCCGTGCCTCTGCTGTTAGCTGTGGCTCATGGCATGTTCGTGGCATGTTCTCTGCTGTGGCATGTTGTAGAGCTCTGTCTCTGTCTCTCCATCATCTCTGACTCCAACCCAGACCC